TTTTGCGGTAAATCTGCAGATCGCTAAAGCAAAAATGGCCCCAATGCTGTGGTTTAACACTTGAACTCATATTAGCTGCATTTTGACCCTTTCCTGCATGCAGGGGGAAAAGGGTTGGGTGGGATGAAGGTGTTGCATTACAGAACCTCAATTTACTTTCATGGACATATCAGTAGATGACAAGTAACGCTGCAAAATTACAACTTCCCGGCCAGCTTAAATATGAAGTTGACAGGTACTAGTTTAAACTTTGACGTGTGCGTACGTGAGACCTGAGGGTGAGTGACGGCTGAATTTGAAATGTTTGGACTAGACGTGGCTAAAGAACATCTTGGTGAATTCCAACCTTCTAGCTTGCGCCGTTCCCGAAATCGCTTTCCCACAAAAAAACTTTCATGCGCTTGCGCGTGAGAACCACGGGGAAGTAAGCGTCCGTTTTGAGAATGTTGGCTTGTACGTATCTGTGGATTAAGTTGCCAAAATTTCAGCCTTGTAGCTTTTATAGATCTCGAGATGAAAACTCGGTACAGACGCAAACACAGATGAACGGACACGCACACACAGAAAACCATCGATAATATGCGCTTTTGCATCGTACAGATACAAAAAAAACGCATAAAAATCAAAAAACAGGCAATAACTGCCTCACAACTTATACCTCTTCAAAAAAATTGATAAATGCCATGCAGTGTACAAACTAACTAGCTAACTAATAATACTGCTCACCTCTTTACTGGCTTGTCGGATTGCAGCAACTTCATCTTCGGTAGGAGGTAATTTTCGGACACCCCTCAGCCAAGTCATCCATTCCGGAGGAGGCACTTCCGAGGAATTTTCAGCAGGAATGAAACCTCTGAAATATTACAGTTTTAATAGAGTGGGGAAAAGTCAAAAAAAAAAAAAAACCGAAAAGAAAAAATGCAAAAAACGAATGAACGGTTCGTAGAAAGAATGGCAGCCGAAGCTAAAACCTTCACTTTCAATATAACAGCAACAGTGCTGGCTACAGCGCCATGCTCACCAATGATGTGACCGACAGGAGCAATAATTATGATGCAACGTTTAAAGAAATTACTTAATTGGTAGAGTGATTTGTCGTAGACCAGAAAACGTAACTTTCGGCAGGATGTGGAGCTAAATATACAAAAAAAGACACCTTGAAACGGCTAAAACCCTTCCAAGCATTTTTGCGGAAGAAGCAGTGTTCAGCTGGCCACAGAACATCAGGACTGCCAGAAGGCTGTTCACGGCGATACAGCATTGGTCAAAGCAATTGGAAAGTTGCCAGCTATTACACGGCTTGTGAATTAGACTACTACGGATTAGTCAAAGTTGATCCAACCATTGGTAAAAGCTGATCCAAGTAACTTTGAGGATGCGTTGAATGGGCAACTACGCCTGATACTAGAATGATAAATTTGATAACGCAAACTTAAGATAACAGACTATCATAGTGATGGATTAGTAGCGAAGTATTTTAAGCCTTTTTATGACAAATTTACGATAAAATTCGAACGATCTCCGAAGAGGTGGCGCACATACACAGAACAGATGGCGGGTAACTGGATGGATACAGCTCAGGATCGAAGGATCTGACCTCACACAGATGTACTCGGCGTGTCGAAGCATCCTAGTAACATTACTAATGGGGGATACCTCGGGCATTCTTCGTAACATAAAAATTTAGCTGAGAAAAAACCAAAAGAAAACGCAGTCGGTAACCATCATAGGCGGATCCAGGGCGATCTCCTAAGGGGCGAAGGGGAGGAGGGGGGGGGGCGCGATTTTTCACCTTCCCTTCTTCATTCGTCACTACACCTCCTCCCTCGATCAGTTCCCAGCCCATCCTTCAATCGTCTCGCTACCTCCCCCACCCCCCGCTCTCACAATGGACACTAAACTAAGACTGACAAGGCTTCTGGGTGCTGGTGGAGAAGGGCGACAAGGGGGTATCGAGCAAACTTTTGTACAGTAAAACAACTGCTACCTTTGTACACCCCCTAGATCCGCCAATGGTAACAGTGTGCGTAAAATCTCGCACGAGGACCTTGATTTTTTATTTATTTATTTATTTTTTTTTTTTTTATAGAGTCTCACTGAAATAGCGAGTTAGAAGTGGAAGTGCATGGAAAAAGCTCACCTTTTGACGATTCTAGTTGATTTTATCAGTTCATAATACCTATTGCCTTCATCATCCACCCCGACGAATCTCTTCCTGAAACGTTCCCGGCTGAACGAATCGATGAAATTCCTCCAAATGAACGCGATAACACCCGGACGGCCACTACTACTCATCCAGACAACTCATTTCATAGCAATCGCACCACAATGGTTTGGCTACTCAATATTTGAAGCTCAGTGCAACTCAGAAGCTCAGTGCTTCCCGTCAGCTCACCGTACGTAATTATGTCCTTCGCGTTCGTCACTGAAAATATTCCGAAAATGCGTGATGTCGCGCCGGCGCTGAGTATTTTATAAGCGTTTTTAAAAAAATAAACAGAAACGCGCACCAGACTGGCCGGTGCGTTCATGCGTTTTGTGCAATTCAGCCCGCCGAACGATTGCCTATTAATGATTTTCACTGCTTTGAAGTGAAAATCATTAATAGGCAATTTTTTCACTGCTTAATGATTTTCACTGCCTCCTCGACTGCGTGGTTCCCGAGATATTAACTTATACGTAAAAAACTTTCACGGGGCAGTACGCGTTACCCGCGGGTACGGGGAAGCTGAATTTAAATTTGCGGGGTCACACGTGGGTG